TAATATATATAAATATATGAAAAATTGATGTGGGTACTCAAATGAAAGGTCTTGATGAGTATAATATCAGGATGATCTTATATCTTTAAAAATGTCAATAGTTCACAAGATACAAGGTTATTTCTTAATTATGTATCTAGAGATAGAGCATTTTCGAATGCAGCCTTAATACTTATTATTATAAATTAATGATACCAAATTTAACCATAAAAACCCACTTTATCATATAAATACACTGTCCATAAAATTTTACTTATTCTCTTAATAATATAGATTAATTTTTAAAAATTAGCTTTTATTAATAAATATGTAAAGGATATTGTTTATCTCTTCCTTCACGGCCCTCGCGTTCATGGGTACGTTCTTTTCCATACGGGGATTTTTCCTAAAAAAAAAAAAAAATTATCAAATTAATTTTCATATACATTCATAAATAAAATATATATAATTTATATAAAACCTACTTTAGGATAATGGTGTTTTTCTCGATGTTCTGGTAAGTCTCCATTTTGATGAGCTTTAGCTGTAATAATAATTTCTGGTTCATCTAAATAGTTTAAAAAAAAAAAAAAAAAAAAATTCTTACCTCTATCATCATCTTTTCTTCGTTTCTGTTCAGCTGCAGCCACTGCGTCATCCGTACGATCCTATTAGAATATTATTATTAAAAAAAAATTTTTCTTAAATATTTATAAGTATCAACCGATTATTGAAAAAAAAAAAAACTTACTCTTTTCCTGCCGAGTTTCTTCTCCCTTCTCAACTCTTTTTGCTCGTCACGAACTTTCGTCTTACTAGAGCGCTCTTTTTTCTCACTACTGCTATCCGTACGTCTGCTTTCCTTAGGAATGCTTTCTATTTTTCTTCTTTTCGGTTCTTTAAAGAAATTGTTCAAATTAATATAGAGTATGGATACCAATAAGTAATTAAAAAAAAAAAAAATAGTTGTATTAAATACCTCGATCGGGACCATCTTGAGCTTGACCAGAGCTAGCGCTGCTGTTGGACACACTAGAAAGATCACGGTCTAAATTATCAACGCCACTATAATAATGATCTTCTTTATAATATTTTCGATCTTTTTTATCCGTCGTATCATCCTCTTTTATTTCCTCTTTTTTTACATACTTTTCTTTGACTTCTGGCGCTTCTTTTGGTTCTTCTTTCTTCCGTGTTTTTTCAGTACTATCACTAAAAAAAAAAAAAATTATGAATAATTAATTTAAAAAAAAAAAAAAAAAAATAATAATAATAATAAATAAATAAATTTACTGGTAAGTTTGACTTGGAGTCCGTTTATCCCGTTGATCTTTAGTGTCTTTATCAACTCGTGTATCTCCATTGCTACTGACTTCTTTAGCAGTAACTCCATTGGTCGTTTTTTCAGAAGCTTCAGTATTGCTAGTTTCTTGCGTTTTTCCCGCCTGTTAAATCATCAAACTCAATATTAATAATCACAGTAATAAATTATTTACATTAAAAAAATTGTTAAAAAAAAAAAAAAATGACCTTATCACCAACATGATGAAAATCAGATTCACGAATCATTTGAGGCGCTTTCGCCTTTAATTGTCCACAATACGAAGTCGCGAGCACATGTAAATCTTGTCGCTGTCCGCGTTCTTCTTCACGTACCTTCTCAACTTTTCGCTCCAAAATTTGTGATAATTTAGCAAGTACCGGGAAGTGCGGTAAAATTTTTATCAATATAATTAAGGAATTACGTATTTGTACGTAGTCTTTCGAATCTAAACAGACAACAATTGCCTAAAATACCAAAACAAAATAATTATTAGTAAAATTTAGATAATATTTAATTTTATTATTTAATAATGATTATTGATTAATATTTTAGAAATAAAATTATACCTTGGTAATTTTATAGTGCCATTTATGACACACATGTCTGTAATTTTCAAATCCAACCATATCATTAGCTTCCGAGAATTGATTACTTACTCGGAATTTAGTAACAAATCCAGGATAATTGCTACATTCTTTATCAAATATAGCTTTTTCAGAATGCCATCTCATTACAGTTTCAAGCATGGCACAGAGAAAACGTCCGTAACGATTAGCTTCATTTTCCGTGCAAGAAGTTACTGAGTAAGTGATATCACAAAATAGCTTAGAATTTATAAAATAATTAATTAATTATTTGACTTATTATTTTATATTATTATGAATTTTAGTATTTAAAGATGACTTACTCTGTCGTAACATAAAAGAGTGGAAAAATTAGCAGTCTTGAGTGAATGGATAGTATGAACAAATTTAGCGCAGTACATCGCGTCAACAGTTGTGAAAGTACATCTTGGGAACAAACAAAGTTGTAAGAATTGTGTGATTGTTTCATTTTTTGCAGACTTAGCACTTCTTGATAAAAACCATGAATCTTTTTCTTGTCTAAAAAAAATATTTAATTCAATATTAAAATTTTATAATAAATTAAACATTAATTAGCAACCTTGCAATCACTACGTGACTGCCGTGACTTGTGAAATATAAATAAACAAAATTTTGCTGTATTAAGTAATGACTTGTTAAATTGCATTGTACTTTCTTAAATATTGACATTTTTAAAGATATAAGCTCATTTTGATGTTACACTCATCAAGAGCTTTCATTTGAGTACCCACATGCATTTTTTATATATTTTTCATATATACATATATATAAATATATAAAATATATGAAAAATTGATGTGGGTACTTAAATGAAAGCTCTTGATGAATGTAATGCCGGGGTGAGCTTATATCTTTAAAAATGTCAATAGTTCACAAAATACAAGATCATTTCTTAATTATGTATCTAGAGATAGAGAATTTTTGAATGCAGCCTAAATACTTATAATAAATTGATTATCAGTGAGAATAATGATATGAAACCATGAAAAGGCACAAATTCAAATCAAGACTTTTCCAACAATATCAAATTTAACCATAAAAGCCTATTTATCATCTAAATACACTGGGCACAAAATTTTGCTTATTCTCTTAATAATATAGATTAAAAATTAAATTACCGTAAATACGCAAAGACTTTTTCAACATGTTCTTCCTGTTTTCGTTTTTCATCCTGCAACTTTTCAATCAGCGCAGTGTAACGATCTTGTTCTTTTTTACCTTTGCTAACATTCTGTAATTTATAAATAAATTTAATTTCACTTTTTTAGACAAATAGAGTAGCAATAAAAAACGATAAAATAACCCTACCATGTCTTTAGAATCAGCAACTATGGCAGCTTGCTGTTTTAACTTGGTTATTTCACGATGATAACTGTCAGCGGGGACAAAGAGATCGTACATGGATAAGGACCAGAAAGTTACAAGGAACTGAGGTGAAATGTCTTCCCATACTTTTAGAGGGTGTAGGGGTCTAACAGACAGTGCTATGGGTGCCATTACGTTCTGAGCAGCTTCTGCCCATTTAGATTGCTTCAACGCCGAAGACATTTTTTTGTAATTTGGATCGGCTTTACGCAAAACGTCATACTTCATCTATAATATTTTTTACAATTAAAATTAAATATTCAATTATAAAATCAAATATTTAATTATGAAATAAAAATTTTAATTAATAGTAATTTGAGCTTACATTGATAGCATGAGCAAACATTGGACGTGCAAGGAAAAATGCTACATCAGCATGGATGTGATAATCTTGAAGCATTCCATGAATACTTGGTAATTTTTCAACATACTCATCTACTGTTAGTGTAGACCCTAAGAATGTACCAAATTGCACGAGCGTATCGTGACATTGATCATAAAGTTTTCCTAAAAAAAAAAATTTTTAACAAAATTAATTTTTTTTTATTAGATAAATTATTTTACAAATAAAAATATTTTAATTTTTAACTTAGATTTTTTATATTCTTACACATACACCTGTAAATGATTTTTAAAATCTGTTGAAAGATTAAAATTAATTAAACAGTTTTTTTTTTTTTTTTAAGCAACATTATTTTATCATTATTAGAGCCAAGATTTTTACTTTAATTTCAAAACAACAATTAATAATTAAGGGGTTACATGGCTTTATTTATTTCATTATTTATATAAAAAAAAAAAATTGTTGAAAATATGAAAAATTGTTAGCTGTCATATCAGCTAACTTTATTTTAATCCATGTAACTTTGTTCTAAAACTTTTTTTATAAGACCAATATTTTGGCTGTAATAATAAATATTAAAGCCATTCATTTTGAAATTAAGGCAAAAATCTTGGCTCTAATTGTTCATCAAATAAAACTTTTAAATAACTGAAAATAAATCATAAAAATTTTTGAAAATAAACTTACCAACAAGTTTGAGATGAGATTGGTCAGTTTCACGGTAAACAACACAATGTTTTTGCTGCGCCATCAACAAACACAAAGCAACAGCTAAATCATTTTCCGAGAGAGCTTCTTTAAGTCTCAGTGATGATTTTTTTGTATTACGAACTTGACTGAAATAGCCGGCTTCATTTTTAAGTAAATCGCCACCAGCCATCGCGTCTAATTGATCAGAGGTCATTTCTTCAGCAGCTTCCACTCCTGCCATTTTTTGGACGATTTCTTTGAGTATCAACAGATCCAAACTACGAAAAATAATTATTAATATAAATCAATTTTTATTTATATAATATATAATAATTGATCTTATAATTAAAATGTACACCGGGGTCGAGAAAACTTGGAAGCTTAGAGGAACTTTAAATGAATTACTCTTGATTGTAATTAAAATTAAAAAATACTCCGAGTCTATTGCCAGCCGAATAAATTGATCACGATTTCTTGTATTTAAATAAAAAGATTTCCATTAACTCACATGACTAGCGATCTCTAAACAATCCTCGTTAAAATAATGGCTGAAATTAAATTTAAAAACTTAAGTAGTCTATTCTATTGTCTAAGTATAGAAAAAAAAATTTTTTTTTAGTTCAAGAAAGCAGAAACAAAAAAAGTAAGCCAGGAATTTAAATACCACAAACCATTTAAATCCACTGGCATTGAAAGAATTCTTGAAAAAATATTCCTTGAGTAAACAACGTGACGTAGATAGATCTGGTCATAGACATCGAAGAATTTTTGTAAATTCCACATCGACATTAACATATATATACATAGATCAAGTAATTAGTAAATGGCTTATGTTTCCAAGAATTTGACCCCGTGATATTTTTCCTATTCTTGTTTACATTTATCCATTTTTTTTTGTTATAATACCTTTTCTGTGCTTTCAGTTGATTAGCAACATACTGAAGCAGCCCGGTCAATTCAATGTTGTACTTTTTAAATATCGCGCCGCAGAAAGACGCCAAGGACTGCAGCCAAAGTGAAATACTATTGCCATCGTGCTTTAATCTGTCACGATCTGCACCAGCTAATGCTTCTACTAGACAGTAGCCCAATACGTCGTATGAAATGTTAGTTAAATATTTAAGTGAATCCACTACAGGTCCTGAAAGTTATTTTGTCTGTTAATATATGTCCAAGTAAGGTAAAAGACCCCTGTTATTGACACTGGCAATTTTATTTCAATTAAAAAAACAAATCAACTCTATCAAATTGATAAATATAATTTTTGAATTATAAATTTTTAGATAATTAATTTTTTTGAGAACATTTTATTTTTTTAATTGGAATATAATTGCAAGTGTCAAACAACTAGACCACTGTCAATAACTGGGTCCTTTATCTTATATTTACATGTATTTATATATACTTCACTGAGAAAAAAAATTTCTTTTGAAAAAAATTAGCAATGTTGTAATAAGAAATTAATTTGTTAAAAATGTTAAATAATTTTATTTGTCAGCTTAAAAAATTAAAATTTTTCTCACAATAATTTTTTTGGTGAGAAAAAGTTTATTAGATTTGAAAAAAAAAAAAAAATTTTAAATAGACGGCTTGTAAATTTTTTTTTTTTCCAAATCAAAAAATTTTTTTCAACAAAAAAGTTACTGTCAAAAAAATTTGGTAAATTTACATGTAAGGTCAACCATTTTCATTTATGATAATAAAGTTAGAGTGACAACAACCAGAATCAATAGAAAATTGAAAATGTTAATTTTTCACGTAGATATGGCCAAAAATTGGGTGGACTCCACTTGTAAATAATTGCCAAACTTTTTTTTCAACAAGAAAGTTACTACCAAGAAACTTTTGATTTCTTGAGCTAAAAATAAAAATTGTTTAAAATTTTCACCAAATTTTTTTCAAAAAAAAATTTTTTTCTTAATCTAACCCTTCAGGACATGGGCTATGAGATATTTTCTCACGCGACAACATTTAACATAATGAATGTCGCTGCAGTGTAAGTGAGCCACTAAAATATACCCATATACTGACGGCTTAAACAATTTTTTTATCCTTTAAAAAACTTACCGATCAAATTATCATAAAGTTGAATTTGAATAAGAATATAATCAAAAAGAACTCCAGGAGACGAGTGAGTAAGTTTGCCAATAGACCTTCCGACAGGTTTAATAGTCTCTTTACTAACGCGCTTCATGATAGCTTTGATTTTTTTCTGAGCGTCAGCACGTTTCCTCAACAAAGCCGCGTGCTGAAGAGGAGTATCATTCTTCCACCTTGCGTACAGACAATACCTATTTTGATACGGAAAGTACTTAAGAATGTTCCACATTTCCTCCGCGACACAGCAATTGCAGTCCATGAAAGATAGTGAGGGTAGCAGAGCAACGTCAAGAATAGTAATTATGTCATAATAAATAGTATTGGATTTATCGAGCGGTTGTTTGCCCGAGTCCAGCGGACACTCTTTGATAGCAACGTGACACAACCTCATTATTTTGTACATAAGAATAGGATCGTGGTGTAAATTAGGTCCCAAAATAACCAACATAGGCAGCAATTTATCATGAAGATCCGCGATGCTTTTCATCGGCTCCGGAGCTAACCTGGACGTCGGAGGTTCAATTTTACGCCCGGGTAATTTCGGAGTTACAACGCAGTGCTTGCGATAGACCGGCTCGATTAAAGACTGGATCAATTTGCACAGAGCAAGTGCAATAGGTCGTTGATCAGTCATACAGTGGTCGGGTAATTTATTAAACAATTTATGAGCCACGTCCCAAGCTCCGATTTCAAGCAAAGCTTCGCAGAGTCCGAACCATTGATTGCCGGTGTATTTATCAGGAATGACTTCCTTTTCTTCCACTGGAGCTTCTTCCTTGTCCCTCGTTGATATCACGCTCATTTTACTTACGTACTCTTTAGCTTGACGCATCGTCTGCTCGTGGTCTTTTCTTATCACTTTGTCGTCAGGCACCAGCCACGGTAAAATGTTATCCAAGTCTATCACTCCGTGCTGGAGCATCAATGCAGTGACCTTCTGCAGGGAAAAAGGCGTCGCTTCGACATTTCCGCCGTATTTAAAACCCAATACTTCACACAGTACTTGGTGGTCGCTCATGTATGACCTTATTAGTGGGATAAACAACGCGTCATCCTGCGGTCTGTTTTCAAAGGTCTCGAGTATTATATCTAGCACTCGATTAGGATCGAGATTAAAGCAACCTGAGAATAAATTATCGTCATCAATTTAGATACTATGGTGTAAATATTTTTTTGTGCTTATGATTTATCCTTAGAGAATTTTAAGAAGGAATTATTTTATTTAGTAGTGTAGTGGATTGGAGTTATATTATCAAAAAGTCATACCAATTAAGGACTTTACGATCTCCAATGTTGTTATCACTTGATCCGGGGATCTTTCTTGATTTAATTCTACTATTAGTTTTGAATAACCTTCACTTTCTTCACGGAACAAATTAAATTTACGCTGCTTGTAGCTGGAATTAATTCAATAAATTAAGTTACATTCTATAGTATAATTTTTTTTTTTTATAATGCTAAAATTAGCAGATATCTGACAATAATATCTTGGATAAAATTTTATCCCAGATTGAAAAACTGGCTCTTAGAATTTTTATAATAAATTTATTGTAAAAAAAAAATATTAAGAGAAAAATTAATTGCAACTTTAAAAGAGGACATAAATAGGGAACTGTGTATATATGTTGCCAAGATCGAAAGATTGTTTAAAGAGAATGAGTGTCACAATATAGAATGTCAGAAAAAGACTGTCATTGATATTAATGTATAGATATTAGGTTAATATAAGTATGAAATAGTATAAATAGTATTGTAATGCGACTGTGATATGTGAAGAATGAATTGTGACAAGAGTTAAAAAAAAAAAAAAGAGAGTACGAATATGTTAAAAGTTAAATCTAAGTTAGTGTATATACAAATGTAAATAATTAAATTAAGACATAAGATTTGTAAAAAAACGGTATGTGATACAAATAAAAACGATATTCTATTCTATTCTATAAAAAAAATATTTTAAAAAATTCGCATTTATAATTTTCTTAAATTTCTACGTGAAATTTTTTTTCGTTGTTTAATTGTTATAAAAATCTAAAAAATTGTTAGATATCTGTGAAATTCAGTATCATTTTTTTAATAATAAAAGTGAATACGTACTAAAGTTTAGTTTTAACTTTGATAAATTTTGTTTGAAAATTACGGTTCTTTAAAGTACCAACATCCTGGAGGGTATCAATTTCAAGACGTTCCTTCAAAGTTCTGTCTGTTAAAAACTAAAAAATTTTTTTTTCAATTAAAAATCCGTCATTTGATGAGAATTTATAATGGACTAATAAAATTTATCACTATTCATATCTCAAACCTTTTCGCTTTCTTTTACGATATAGTAAAAATTGTTGCGGTTGTCGTTGACCACTTCTGCATCTATCAGGGCAAATATGTCCGCGACTGCCGACGCCACGCTGGGATCGATGGTCTGTAAAAATACAAATAATTATAATTAATAATTGTAAAAATTGAATCACATTAATATTAAAAATTTTTTAATGTTATTTAACAAAAAAATTTGTCCTAAAATCTGATAATTTAAAAAATTTTTTTAACAAATAAATTACAGTAAGAAAAATTCTAAGTCTAATTTTTTTTTATTATGAAACTGAAATCAGCAGACATTTTTTATTATGACATTAAAGTTAGTCACTTTCATTTTAGTAAATAACACTTTGTTATTAGGAATTTGTACAAAGAAAATAAAAAAAATAGGAAATACAGTAGCAAGTATTCATAGAAAGAATAAGATGACACTGGATATCATCCCAGATTATACTCAGTGATATTTGATGAAAATAAAGTTAGCCGGCATCTAAAAATTTATATGATTTGTTTTATTAAAAAATTATTACAAAAAAATTTTTTCACTTGTAAAAAACTTCAAAAACTATAGGTGCAATTTTTTAAAAGTATTTTTTAGTTATAATTTAATTAATTTAAGCAAAATAAAAAAAATACAAAAAATAGTCGGCTAACTTTATTATTATGATATTTGTAATGAAAAACAAATTTCAGATAGTAGTTAAAAAAATACCACATTATACTGCGTGATATCTGGATTATACTAGCTACTATCTGAGTTTTTTTTACTCAGTGATATTTGATGAAAATAAGTTAGCCGGCAATCTAAAAATTTATATGATTTGTTTTTATTAAAAAATTATTACAAAAAAATTTTTTCACTTGTAAAAAACTTCAAAAACTATAGGTGCAATTTTTTAAAAGTATTTTTTAGTTATAATTTAATTAATTTAAGCAAAATAAAAAAATCAAAAATGTCGGCTAACTTTATTATTATGATATTTGTAATGAAAAACAATTTCAGATAGTAGTTAAAAAAATCCACATTATACTGCGTGATATCTGGATTATACTAGCTACTATCTGAAGTTTTTTTTCACTTAGTGTAATCTGGGATTTTATCCAGTGTCATCTTGTTCTTTTTATGTAAATTGACCATTTTTTAATTGTTTTTTAACAAATTTGTTGTGAAGAATTATTTAAAAAAAAAAAATTGCAATTTTAATTTTTTTTCAATTTCTACATGTCAATTTTTTTTGCAATAATTTATTTGTTATAAAATTATAAAATTAATTTTAATAAACATTAAAACAAAAAAAATTAATTTTTAAATAATAAATAAAATTACCACAAGTTCTGCTAGAGTAGAAACAACATTGTCTTTTTTGAGAGTCCCCTGGCTGCCGTTTGAGATCAATTCGTATAATCCTCGTAGCCATTCTGTAATAAACGAGTGATTAGTAACCTATCAAATAGCTACAATTAAAAAACTGTCACTTGGACAATTATTAGAGCTGATAAAAAATAATTACCTGTGGTGTTGCCTTTCGTGAATTCGTTCTTGAATATCTTGAGGCTGCAAACAGTTGTTAATGGACAATTAACTCTTCAGTAGAGTGATAAACGAAGGTACTAAAGTTGCAACCATCAAAAATATGTTTTTTTTTTTTTTTTTTTTTTTTTTTTTTTTTTTCTATAGATATTAATTATTTACTTGATACTTATAAAGATTTACAAATACTGAATTTGTTTAAGATTTATACATTCACATAAATTTGACGAATGAATCAATATTATAATCGTGTCACTCTCGTGATCTTGTCTACCACTTACTAATCATTTTTGCCATGCTTATCCCATGATTTCCATAACTCTGATTTCCACAATTTATCAACCGCCATAATATCTAATTAATAAATACAACTTATTTAGATAGTAATTTTAAAAAAACAAACGCATCAACATCACAGGTCTAGTGAACTATTAATATGTAATAATAAAACTCCGTAGTATATAATCACGTTGTATATTTTTTTCACTTAAAGATCCTGCCTGCTGGCTTGCTTGTAGCCGTTCGTTTTTGCTGTTGAGTATAGTCGCGTTTGCGTTCCTACAACGTATTTCTCTTTACGGTGGCGTCCTCAACTTGTTTTTTTTTTATTTTCTAAAATGGCCACCGACTGCAGCGCTAATTTTAAAACTAAAATTAAAAAGTTTGGAAAATCCAAAAGTGCACGCCTCATAACGCTCATTCATTTTTTAAGAAAAAAATTAATTATGAAAATTAATGTAGCACATATTTAATAATTAAAAAAATGTTATAGCAAATAAATTATGGTCTTGACATTTAGAAATTTAAAAAAATAAAAAATGCAATTTCTTTATGAAAATAAAGTTAACATTTAACGTCAATTTATTATTTATATTTATTTATTTATTTATCAATAATCACTTATTATTGTTATAAGGAATTTATTTTTAAAGAGAACTACGTGTTAATTAACTTTAAAATATTAGACTAAAAATTTCACTACCGAGACGTCAAATTATCTTTTCTATTCTAATAATTATTATTATTATTATCAGATCACTTGTACAATTTTTACTATTTTCATTGAACGCAAGTAAATGTGTCTTACTTCCATAGCGCTGCACAATAATTACTATTTTACTATTGGAGGAAAATATTCATTTGAATATTCGGCTAAAAATTAGCGGGAAATTCAAAATTTATCGGAGTTTTTTTTTATTTTCAAGAAGAAATACAAAAAAAAAATAATAACAATTAAAATAATAATATTTTAAATATATCAGCTGATTATTACACAAAATATTGGTAAGACTAAATTTTTTATTTACTTTTGCACACCTCATAGTGCGAAGCGCTTTATACTCGACTCGTCAAGGTCAAGTAATTATGATAATTTAGTTAGCCGACATTTAAAAATTGAAGAAAATTTTTTTATTGCAAAGAAAGATTACAAAAAAAAAAAAAAAAAAAAGAAAAAAAAATGTCATTTGTTAAAAAGATGAAAAACTGTAAGTGCAATTTTTAAAAAATATTTTTTGTTCTAATTTAATTACACAATTTATTTATGACGTTAAAGTTAGCTGTCACTTGACAATTTTTTAATTTTACTTAACAAAAAGATTTTTTCCAAAAAATTATTTTAAAAAAATTATGACACTGAAGTTAGCAGATGAAAATTAAATTAGCCGAAATTTAAAAATTTTTAGAATTTTTTTTTATTGAAAAAATCATTACAAAAAAATAAAAAAAAAATTGCACGTCTAAAAAACTTCAAAAACTGTAAGTGCAATTTTAAAAAAAATTTTTTTGTTCTAATTTAATTATTAAAAAAAAATCAAAAAATTTAGAACGTCGGCTAACTTTAATGACATCATAGTTTATTAAAAAAAAAAAAAAAATTATTAAATGTCTACTAAATTTACTTTCATATTAATTAATTTTCATGAAAATTAATGTAGCACATATTTAATAATTAAAAAAATGTTATAGCAAATAAATTATGGTCAAAAAAAAAATAAGAAAAAAAAATTGACATTTAGAAATTTAAAAAAATAAAAAATGCAATTTCTTTATGAAAATAAAGTTAACATTTCAAAATTTTTAGAAATTTTTTTATCCAAAAAATTACAATTAAATAATTAAAAAAAAAAATATCACTTGTTAAAAACTTGAAAAACTATAAGTGCAATTTTTTAAAAAATCTTTTTAGTTGTAATTTAATTAAAAAAAAAAACAAAAATTTTTAGACGTCTGCTAACTATGTCATTAAAGTTAGCCGACGTTCTAAATTTTTTGATTTTTTTTTAATAATTAAATTAGAACAAAAAAATTTTTTTTAAAATTGCACTTACAGTTTTTGAAGTTTTTTAGACGTGCAATTTTTTTTTATTTTTTTGTAATGATTTTTTCAATAAAAAAAAATTCTAAAAATTTTTAAATTTCGGCTAATTTAATTTTCATCTGCTAACTTCAGTGTCATAATTTTTTTAAAATAATTTTTTGGAAAAAATCTTTTTGTTAAGTAAAATTAAAAAATTGTCAAGTGACAGCTAACTTTAACGTCATAAATAAATTGTGTAATTAAATTAGAACAAAAAATATTTTTTAAAAATTGCACTTACAGTTTTTCATCTTTTTAACAAATGACATTTTTTTTTCTTTTTTTTTTTTTTTGTAATCTTTTTTTGCAATAAAAAAATTTTCTTCAATTTTTAAATGTCGGCTAACTAAATTATCATAATTACTTGACCTTGACGAGTCGAGTATAAAGCGCTTCGCACTATGAGGTGTGCAAAAGTAAATAAAAAATTTAGTCTTACCAATATTTTGTGTAATAATCAGCTGATATATTTAAAATATTATTATTTTAATTGTTATTATTTTTTTTTTGTATTTCTTCTTGAAAATAAAAAAAAACTCCGATAAATTTTGAATTTCCCGCTAATTTTTAGCCGAATATTCAAATGAATATTTTCCTCCAATAGTAAAATAGTAATTATTGTGCAGCGCTATGGAAGTAAGACACATTTACTTGCGTTCAATGAAAATAGTAAAAATTGTACAAGTGATCTGATAATAATAATAATAATTATTAGAATAGAAAAGATAATTTGACGTCTCGGTAGTGAAATTTTTAGTCTAATATTTTAAAGTTAATTAACACGTAGTTCTCTTTAAAAATAAATTCCTTATAACAATAATAAGTGATTATTGATAAATAAATAAATAAATATAAATAATAAATTGACGTTATTGTTAAATGTAACCAAAAAATAAATAATATGAAAATTTTAATGATTTAACACAATACTTGGAATAATTAAAAAAATATTGAATTTTAATAATCAATGCATGAATAAATAAATAAAACTATTTTAAATGAAACTTAAACTTAAAAAATGGTATCGATAATTAAAAATCAATTGTTAAAACATCTGTCAAGGTATTTATTTATTTTTTTAAAAAATATTTTAATAATTGGGTCATGTTCTGATTTTAATAATTATTATTTTTTAGGTTTACTAAAAACCTGTCAGTTGATCAAATAAATTGGAGCACTTTGCGAGGCGAAGGAGAGTTGTCAAACTTGGAGTTAGATGAAGCTGTGCTAACAGATTTACTTGAGTTGCCATCGTGGTTAAAGTTGACAAATGCTTGGTGTAATAAAGTAATATTACGTGTACAATGGACCAAGCTAAAAAGTGTGCCTATATTTTTGGTAATTAATATTTTTTACTATGAAAATTAAGTTAGTCGGACATTTAAAAATTTTTTATTGAAAAAATGATTAAAAAAAAATTTTCACTTGTAAAACACTTTAAAAACTGTAAGTGCAATTTTTAAAAAATATTTTTTTGTTCTAATTTAATTATTAAAAAAAAAATTTTAAAATTAAAATCGTCGGGTAACTTTACTATTATTTTTTTACTCTAAAAGCTGTGAATAAAATAAAGTTAGCTGATATGACAGCTAACAAATTTTTTTTATTGAAAAATATGAAAATTAAATTAGCTGACATCTGGAAATTTTTGTAGTTTATTTTATTGAAAAATTACTAAAAAATAAGTAAGAGAAAAAATAAAAAAAATTAGACGTGCAGTTTTTAATGGAAATAAAGTTAGCCGGCATTTGAAAATTTTTAGAAATTTTTTATTGAAAAAATTTCAATTAAACAATTAAAAAAAAGTCTGCTAACTTTAGTGTCATCAGTTTTTAATAAATATTTTTTTTAGTTCTAATTTAATTAAGGGGTTACATGGGTTCCCTCCGGGAAAAAATGGCCTATCTTCAACAATTTTTTTTTAATAGAAAAAATGAAATATTTTATTCAAACTTTTTACTGTCTTAAAGATAAATGTTTAATAAGGGATTACTGAAATTAAAAAAAAAAATATTAAAAACTTTGCTCATGTGACGTCATTTCCAGCGAGCCCCTAGCAGCAGAACTCCTAGCAGGATTATTTGAAGTGAAAAAAAAAAAATATGTGCTTTAGTTAAGACTTCAAACTAGGTCTTGAACGAAGAAAAAAAATGAAACTTGGATTTTTGGCAGAGGTTTTTACAAAAAGATTAAAAATTTGGCTAAAATTTCGCGGCATTTTTTTTTTTTTAATTAGTTGTAATTGAAAAAAAAATCCTTCGTTCAAGACCTTGTAAATTATATCTCGAAGACCTGTCTAAAATTTCATCAAGATCGGTTGAGTAGTTCTCGAGAAATCTTGACCACCGTCTTTAAAAACATAGTTTTGAGAAAACCGCGTTTAAAGTTTTGAGTGACAATACAACAGCGCCTTGAGCTTGCAACTTTTTAAAACTGTATCTCTGAAACTATTATTCGGATCGATTTATATATATATATATATATATATATATATATATATCGCTTATATTTTATACTTTACACATTGGGTTTATTTTTATATGTGTTTGTTTTTATCTACATATTTAGATATCGAGAATAATGGTTGAGTCAAAATCACCGACTTGGCAACGGTGTGATTTACGTATGACCAGAGTTAAGGATCCTGATAGAGGTCAATTGTTGATATTTAAAGAGCTGGAATGGCAAACTGTTCGAATAGAGGCCCAAAGTACTATCGATCAAAATTTGACACCTTTGAGACTGTTAACTAATCAAGCGCGGTGTCGGATAACTATCAAGAAACGTCTATCAGGTAAATAATATCAATAAATTTTAGATTTTTTGATATTTATCACAAGATACATAGTTGACTTTTTAAATAAATTTTGAAAATAATAGTGCTGTCACAGGATCAATTACAAATAATATAATTGACAAATCTGACGGAATAAATTTATAGAACCAACAAACTATTAAAAACTCCTCCAAAAACTTGACATAAAAAATTGACTACTAAAAAATATATAAAACCAAAAGGCACTAATTCTTATCAAGACCTTTTTGATGATACCAAATTAAGCTTTAAAAATTCCTTTAAAAATAATAATATGCTCGTCATAAAATTTTCCTTACTCTCTCAATTATTTAAATCATAAATGACTATCGCTGAAAAAGTATCAAACCCAATTTACGATAAAGATATACCCGTTGCTAAATTTTTCTTAGTCTCTTAATTATATAAATTAATTTTTGACACAACCACATTGACATGTACAAAACAAAATAAATAAATAAACAAATATTGTTTATCGCGAAATTCTAATCTATTTATAACTACTTCGAAAACTTATCATAATAAATTAACTATTGCTGAAAAGCATATAAAAACATTGAAAAGGCACAAATTCAGGTCTAAACCTTTCCAATGATACTGATTTTAATTTAAAAAATTCATTTTATCATATAAATATACCGGAGACAAAATTTTTCTTGTTCTCTTAATTATATAGACTAGCAACCTTGCAGTTACCATGTGACTGGCGTGACTTGTGAACAATAAATAAATAAAATTTTGCTTTATTAAATAATGACTTTCGTTAAATTGCACTGTACTTTCTTAAGTATTGCCAATTTTAAAGATATAAGCTCATCCTGATGTAACACTCATTAAGAGCTTCCATTTGAGTACCCACATGCATTTTTGATATATTTTTGATATTTATTTATATATATATATATATATATATATATATATGTGAAAAATTAATGTGGGTACTCAAATGAAAGGTCTCGATGAGTGTAATGTCGGGATGAGCTTATATCTTTAAAAATGTCAATAGTTCACAAGATACAAGGTCATTTCTTAATTATGACTATCCTGGAGACAAAATTTTTCTTATTCTCTTAATAATATAGATTATTCATTTTTTAGATTGTTTTGTGATGGGATCCCGACTAGTGATAATTCTCGATGATCTCTTATGGGTCCTTACGGACTCTCAATTAAAAGCAGCTTTACATTTTATCGATTCCCTAGGAAGTCTTATTGAAAAAGCGACGACTATTGAAAGAAAGATAAAAGCCGCGAGAAAACTCGAGGTATGTAATTGGAATTCTTATATTGAACTTATAGTTAGTAAATTAAATAACCTAAATTCTTTTTATTTTTTTCTTCCAAGGTTTTGCCTGAATACCAGGCACAAATATCTCAGCAGTCAAGAAGCCAATCAAAAGTACCTTGCAATACAGCGATATCAAAAATTTTTATGCGTTATGACGTAGTTGAAACTTCTTATCACTTTCTATCACAACGAATTGATTTACATCTATGCGACGATCCTGGAAGTATGATTGCTTTTTATCAATAGAACTTTATTAGTCTTCTGATTAAATGAAAAATTTTATTTTATTTCAATTGCAGCTGGTAGATCTTCGTACCCGGAATTGAAAGATGGAGGAGCTTTACAGATATCATTGATTAAATTCCAAATAGATTACTATCCATATCACTTAGCGATGTCTGACAGAAAACACTGGGCTAAGTATCGAGAAAATACAATGCCTCATGCCCAGTGGCTGCAGCAGTCTTTTAATTCATTTCGCGGACAATTTATGGATTTAATTGACGCGGGCCAAAAGCAGTCCAGAAAAAATAGCGGTAATTTTTAATTCTTAAAAAATTAAAATTTTGCTTAATTAAATAATGAATTTGGTTAAATTGCACTGTATTTTCTTAACTATTAACGTTTTTGAAAATATAAGCTCATCTTGATGTTACAGTCATCAAGAGCTTTCATTTCAGTACCCACATGCATTTTCATATATTTTTCATATATACATCATATACATATATATAAATATATAAAATATATGAAAAATTGATGTGGGTATTCAAATGAAAGATCTCGATGAGTATAACATCGGAATGAGCTTATATCTTTAAAAATGTCAATATTTTACAAGATACAAGGTTATTTCTTAATTATGTATCTAGAGATAGAGCATTTTCGAATGCAGCCCAAATTCTTATCATAATAAATTGTCTATTAGTAAAAATGAAATGAAACCTTCTTATTCTTTTAATAATATAGACTTTTATTATTACATTTATTTTATTTTATAGGCAACGAATCAAAAAATGACGATAAATTAAAAAGCGATCAGCAAACACCTTTATTGGAACATGAGCATAAAAAATTACAGAAACAAGCTAGCACAGTTGGCACCGGGAACCCAATAAAAAATTATGTGTTGGAACAATTGTCTACGCTCATGACTACGTGTATTGTCATAAGAATTTATGACCTAACTATTTACAAAGTTACTACTACGACAAGAAAGCCGATCACTAAAGAATTTTTGACAGGTAAACACTCACAACTCATAAATTACACTTATGTTATTTATTTACAAAAGATAAATTCACTCCTTGAATGGAAGAATCTCTTTAATAGAAATACCGTAAATTAAAAATACTAAATATTTTTATTATTTTTTTTTTTTAGTTAAAATTTATTTGAATATTTTTTAAATAAATAATTATTTTTTTTATAATTGTTCATTTAAATTAATTATTGTTTGTTAATAAATAAACAGCGCAAACGAGGAAGAAACATCCTACAGGTATTCTGTCGATTGAGTGGATAAAAAGCACGTAAAATTTGTCACTAGTTATACATAATATATCTTCATTTATAGTTCCTAGTTAGTCAACATATTTTAGTTTTTAGAAAAAACCAAAAATATTTTTTTTTTATTATTTGTCCGTAATATTATTATTTTATTATTAGATTTCCTGTTTCACCTGTAATAAGTTGGAGCTTTCTACCCTAAAAAAACTACATTAGTTCATGAAAAATTAGGAAAACACCTCATAATATTTTTTCAATTTTTATCATTTGTTTAACTTTATTTATTTTTTTCAGGTGACCGTGAAAAATTTTCCCTGCCAGAAGATGTTACTATTTTACATGCAGAGTTTACTTATTATTATTATCCTGGTGATTTAATATTCCCATGTGAGTTATAAAAAAAAAACATGTTAGATTTTTATTTAATCGACAGAATATTAATTAACAATAATAATAATATTTATCAACAGTACCACCGCCAAAATTTTACGTCCAAGTAAATCCTATCCAGATAAACTACGATATATACAGCTGCCTGTGGTTTAATTCATTTTTACTGAACCTCTACAAATCACTGGCGTCAAATGAAAATAAAGCCAATGCTGTTAATGATATTAATATGTACTTCGATGTCAAGTTAGAAGCAATATTACCTCGGGTATTTAATTTATACATTTAAAAATATTTAACTAAGTATTTTAATTTGATAATAATTGTATCTATTGATAAACTAATATAAATATTAATATTTATCCAGATAATTGTTGAGTCGCAAAACGACTACCCTAATCAACGTGATCGTCCCAAGTCATTGAATATTCAAACATCACGTGTAACTCTTACGAATGTAAGGTCTGCTGACAGCAAATCATCACGTACTGACTTGGCTGAGTGCTTAAATGCTTTGCAGATGGGACAGATGTTTTTTTCTTCGGATTTTCCTAGCAATAAGAATGATTACCACATTGTTACTGATAGATTTTCGCGTCACTGCGCAGGTAATTTTTTAATACATATATTAAATATTTTTTAAAAATATAATTATTCAAATAATAATGAAATTTAACTGTATTAAATAAATTACTTTTGTTAAATTGCACTGTATTTTTTTAAATATTAATGTTTTTAAAGATATAAGCTCATCCTGATGTTATACTCATCAAGAGCTTTCATTTTCGTACCCACATGCATTTTTGATATATTTTTCATATATATATATATATATATATATATA